CTTACTCAGTATTGTCATGTCTGACTGGCAGCCATGTACCTCCAAGGTTTCTTGAAGGATTGTCTCCTAGCTTCATCTGGAGGTCCTTTCTAGTCCTCTGATGGTCTCCCATCCAATTCCAGGACTGACTCTGTTTAGTATAGACAACCAGATGGGATTAAGGGTGTTGGTGGTATGGTGATCTGATCCAGCAGGGCTTTTGTTAGGTTTTAAGAGCTGTTGCTCAGCAACCAGGTTAACATTTCATATGCAATGGAAGGGGAAGGAACACACAATCAGAATCTATAGTATCTTTCTTTTTTCCTTTCTTCTTTTTTAGCAAGGCTTGACTAAGGGCAGGAAAGTGTAACAAAGCTCCTGTTGTTTGTGACAGACAAAAAAAGATTAAACACATATTCCAGCAAATAGACTGTTTTAGAAGGGAGAAAAATTAAGTTGTCTAAGGCTGAAGTCCTTTGTTGATCTTGAGAGCAAGACCATTTGAAATAAGTGCACTTATTTTTGATACATAGAATAATGTCTGTCAGTCTACTTATAGTTGTTGCAACACCAAGGAAGTGAACAGCAAAATCTAAATGTATCATGTAGAACTGAGAGAACTGTATACCTATCATCTAGTAAGGAATTACTTGCATTGTAGTAGAATGTTGATCAAATGGAGTAGTATCTTGTCTTTTTAAATTAAATCTCTCTACATCTTGACCTCACAAAGATCTATTTCTTATCTTTCCCTTCTCTGCTGAAAGTCTCTAGCAATTGTTGGAAGACAGCTCAGTCAGTTTTCATATATTTTGCAAGATCAGCAAGTGACTTTGGCCATGAACAATTAGCATTTTTATGTTCTTAGCCATATATGCCCTGACCTTTGGGATCATTACTATCAAGATTTCTTATAAACATTACTAAGACAATGAAAATGTTACAACTACAGATAAATCAAACATTTGAATAAGTAGAAATAGCAAAGTTTCTGAAAGTAGATCAAAGCTGAATAAGAAGCAATCCACATGCCGGGGGAGGGGGATACAAAAAAGATATTCAGCTAATGCCAAAAAGACAATAAAGAAGGCATTAAAGGAACTTGTGTTGGACTTCCGGGGAAGATGGCAGGTTGAAGTTTTCCCTTTTTGCAGAGCTCTGCTAGGAAAGAAGTGATGGTTGCTTTTAACCAACTACAGCTAAGCTCAGGTTGGCAATTTATCTATGGACACTGGACCCAAAATCTTCACTCTATTTAATTCCTAGTCTCTCGATTTTGTGTTTGAACATCTAGATTAAAAAAATCTTGGATTCAACTGTGAGACTTTTGCCTCAGTAAACTGCCTTCTTTTAGAAGTAAGGAGAGAGGTCAATGTCTTATGTGGACCATATTCTTTATTGGCAAAGGTTTAAATAGAATCAGGAATAACAAAGTTTGTAATGCTCCAAAAGGTTAGCAACAATGATATTTGAAAGATCTATGGATTTCATTTTATATTGGATTTATTAATTTGGGATTACAAAATAGAGATATCATGAGGAATAGTATTTGTTTTGTCAAAAGGAGGCACTGGATTGGACAAAAAAAAAATCCCAATTCTTGATAAGTTTTGTTGTTTGCCAGGTGCTTTGGTTATGGATGTGGAGAAATGTCTGTGCTCCAAAAAAGGATGGGGGAACCCCTCAGAGCCCAGCACAGTCAACTTTTTTTCAATGTGTGGGAGAATAAGAAAAAATAAGAAGAATGTTTAAAGCATGGAGAGGAGACCGGGATACAAGATGACACTGAATGTTTTGAACAATCAGAGGAGTGTGGAAAGGAAGAGGGGAACCAATTGGAATGGAGACATATTGGATTGCAAAAGAGGGGTCCCTGTTGAGAAGCAAATGGATTTTAAATTTCCTGGACTTTGCAAATCTCCCTATAGCCACAGGATCAGAAGGAGGAGGAACCTGCCTGCAAAAGATTTCCTCCCCACCATATACCATCTTAACTAAAAACTGAAACATGTAGGCATCTGACTAACATCACCAATTGTTTTTCTCCT